ATACTGTCGTTTCTGAATATCCACAGGAGCAAGTAAGATTCGCCACAGAATTCTTAAACCCTCTAACACTTTTTAATTCTTCTTGATTGAGTAGCCATTTATAATGAAATTTTCAGCTAGAGAAGCGAAGTGACTGAAAGTCACAATTTATACCTATAAGTACCTTTCTTAACTGAGATGACTAACCTTTCAAAATTGTTCGAAACAGCTAAAGAAAACTCAACTTAAAAGGTAGAACCAAGGCATATCAAACAGGTATTAGAGCAAAAACCACACTTATGTTATTTTGTTGTTGCTTCTCTTATCTAAAGTGTAAAGGCTGTTCTTATTTTCTTCTTGTAAATCAAAGACTACCATGTGAAATACAAAAAAGTAAATATTAAAAACTACATTTGGGAAAAAACTGGTGCGACTTTCTTTCTTAGTAAATTTTGTTTGCTTCTCGAAGCATTGATCCATAATTTGCAGGGCCCAGGAGGCATCAGCGTTTGTGCTGCGGAGTTAAGTGAACGTTCCAAAAGTTGCTTTTCAATCGCTTGTTTTGTATGGGAAAAGGTTTCACATGCAAAAAGATTTTGACAATTTATATTTTTTGTGAGAAGAAATTAAAAATATTTGACATTTAGAGACCGAACAATTTCAAATAAAAAACAAATCAGCTTCTCTACTGATACTATGTTCAATGTGCCTTGGGTAGAACAAAATATTGCAAAGGCCCTTATTATGAGTTGCATTCGATTTTCGATCTTCGCTGGCTATCGAAGATCGAAAGTGAAATTTGTATTATGAGCTATGCAAGCGTGTCGAAATTTTCGTTGAGTATCGAATTTTCTGTCGAACAGAATTTGCTTTCGTTGGTGTAGGGAAGTGTTAGAAAATTGTGAAAATTTTATGATTTTGCATTTGTTTCCTTACTTTTTGGCGGCTAGACACTAATTTGGAACATTTTTTATTAATTTCATGCCGTTCTAACGTCGTGGATACTAAACACAAGCTCGAAAGGCTGGTTTTACTTGTGAAAAAAACCCACTGCTCCGTTGGCACGATCTCTGAGAACAAAATCATAGAGCTGTTTATAGTTTTAATATATTTTAAATAGATTTGGATCACAAAATTTCTTAAATATATTGTATGTCAAAATATATTCGAAAGACTACACTTAAACTCCCTTAAACGTTTTCTGCTCCTGGCTAGTTTTCTAAGCTCTCATCCTCTAACGAATCGTTCAACCAGAACTCCGTTGTACTCATTTTTACCACGTTTTTATAAACTCGCTTTCTTTTTTATTTCGTTTTTATTTGCACAAATTTACATAAATATGTATAAGCACGCTATTTAGTTTGCTCGATTCGTAAACAAAGCTTCTCAGCGGTGAAAAATACAACCTAAACGAGCGAAATTCACAATAGTGCTATTCTTCACCGAATGAGTGCTATAATACCAAATGAAAATTCGTTCGATCAGCACTTTCGACCACAGTCGAAGATCGAATGCAACTCATAATAGGGGCCAAAGAAGTACATTTGATTGTACTTCGAAGTACCACGTACAACGGCTGAAAAAGAAGTACTGTACTTCCGAAATAAGTACGGTTGGTCACAATAGGCCTCCCATACAAACGACATTTTTCATACTGCACATCTCTGGAAGTGTTCACGGTAGAGTACAAGAATTTGGTATGGAGATATAAGAAATCAATCACATAGTCATGACGAAAAATTGGAGCTATTGGAAAAAGGGGCGTGGCAACTCCCATAAAAACCGAATTTTTCATACTGCATATCTCCGGAAGTGTTCATAGTACTCAACGCAAACATGGTATGGAGTAGAGCTGGGATACTATCGAATGTAATATCGATAGTTGAAAACTGTTGCCACAATCGATAGTTTTTGAAAACTATCGATGTCGGTTTTAGAAAGACTTCACAATGTCTCTTCTTTATATCTCTACATATTACATTAATTTTTTTCATGCAAGAAAATACACAACACAGTCGGCAAAAAAAAAAATTTAAGTCATTGGGATTTTTAGCAACTATAAGCTTACACTGAGTTATAGTAAAATTAAATAATCTATAAAACTGCTTGCACAAAATTTTTATGGAAATTCGAATTAAAATCTTGAATTTTTAATTATATTGTAGATTTTTATGTTTTGTTTAACTTTTATAAAAAATTAGTAGACACAAAATAAACAAAAAAAAAAATAGTCAAAACTGCTGTTGTGGTGCTATTATTTTGAACAGTACTATATTCGTTTTCTTATAATATGGTAAAGTGTTAATTATTTCCCTTGTCCGGATTTTGATATGCGGCCCCGATTTGATCTCAGTTGAACTGTTATAAGAATGAGTTGTCAATTTAAACGAATATCTTTTATTTTGTTTGTTTTGTAGTATTATAAATGTATAAATGTATAAAAAATAAATTCAGATTTTGCCTGTCGTTATTCAAGGGGATGCAAGGGTATGTATATAAGTTATATAATTCAGACGCATAAATAAATAAGTTTATTTTATTAAATATTATAAGATGTTACTTTTGATGCACTCAAATTAAAAAAAAAATTATACAATCTCTTTAGTTTACAAAGTAATTTATTAATTTTATAAATTTATTATTTATTTAATTTTCAAGCAATTGAGCGATTCAATTCAATACCTTTCACGACGATAGTACTATCGATGTTTTCAACTATCGTTTCGAAAACTATCGAGTGGCGGTACAATCAATAGTATCCCAGCTCTAGTATGGAGATATATGAAATCAGTCCCATACTCTTAGAGAAAATTGGAAATATTTGAAAAGGGGCGTGGCGCCTTTCAAACGCACTGAAACTATTAAGTATCTTTGTATGCATATACACTTTTGCTAGGTTATTTAAGATGGCAATGGAAATATGCCTTCTGACAACAATCAAGTCGTAATATTAGAAGATAAATGCGTCAGTGAAAATCATCAACGTGAACTGTTCGTGAAAATGTTGGACAATTCAATACAAAAACTAATTTTGGGCGGGACAAAGTTCGCCGGGTCTGTTAGTTTATTATAAAATTCATGGAATTAAATGTAAACTAAAAATTCCTTGTAATTTTCATTTAACGTTCCGTCACAGCGATTTGTTTTGAATTCAAGTGTCATTTTTTATATACTATTACTCGGCTTTCCTTGTTTTTTATACATCTGTACTGTAATGTTTGCGGAATGCACTTGTCAATCAGTGTTGCCGCTTTGATAATTTTTTACCAAAATTGGTAATTTTTTACCAAAATTGGTAATTTTTTTCTTTATTTATCAAATTTGGTAATTTGGTAATTTATTTTTCAGTTTGGTAACTTTTTCGATTGAGTTCTACATGTGTCAAAACCAGTTCTGATTCCACATTAGGAAGTTCCTTTTCCTTTTAGAGAAATACCAGATAGTCTTGAAAGTTTTGCAAGGCGGAAAGTTCTTAGGCGTTCCTTGGTGACTAGAATTGCTTGATCTCTAACAAACTGCCTGAAAGGGCCTATTGCTATATGTACCGTGATTTCCAGAAGGTTGCGGATGGTTTCCTTGTCATCAGCTTTGCAATTGCCATCAATATTGCAGCGTAACCCGGCAATCATATGAGTAAAATTCGGTGTAAATATGTGCGTTCAAAAAGCTACGGCATTCAGTAGGGGACTTCACTTTTTCTATGTACGTGTCGAAAGCTTTCAGGAAATTATGCGCCTAATAATCATATGTTGCAATAAACCGTATCTGTGACGGTGTGAATGATCAGATGTCTTCAGTTGCTTTATGGCCTGAGCTTTATATGGATGGAGATGTATATCCAAATGCAAAATATACCATTATGAGCTATAATAGCCCGAACACAATGAAAACGACTAGCTACGGATCACAGCTGTCAAATTATTTTAACACGTACTCTTATCTAGATAATTATTTTATTTTGGCGACGACCGGGCTACCCGACGGCTGTGGTTGTCGTTCCCACGACAGTCGGGTCGGTTGTCGTTCCCACGACACTCGGGTCTACGTAACCGGAACGACCCAGATTTATATTTGGCCAAGGACTGTCACTCCAGCAACACTCCCCAAAAAGTCTTTGGGGAATTTGTATGCTGCTACAACAACAACGGCTGTGGTTGTGGCCAGATTAGATCCCTTTCTATTTTTCCAGCGACAGATGAAGAACCTTATCCTCCTCTTTTATGTCAAACTCATACAAATTCATGATGTCGCTGCCGCGTTCAAAAAAATCATATCGTCATTGACAAAGCGTTTAGATAATGAAGATAACTGTGGGCCGTAGCTCGTCGCTTTCAATGTGTTCAGAACTGCAGACAGTAACATGTTCTTAAAACAACGCGCAATCGACAAATTTGTTTCTTTGCCCACACTTAGGTTTGAAATCCTTACCAAGCGTTTCTATTGTTGTGACTTTTACCGTTCCGTAGATATATAAATTATAGCTCAATGGAGCATTACTTGCCTAAAAAGTTTGGTGTCTTCGGATATATGTACAGACACAGTTCTGCACATAAATAAGTTTGGTACTTTTTTTTGAATTTGGTAGCTTTTTCTAGTGATTTTGGTTAAAAAAAAAATGTGGTATCACTGCTGCCAATATAGAAGTATTATATATATTATGATAATATAGCAATAAATAATTATTACTTATTGTCAACCCAAATCATTCCGTTGTGAGCAAGCATGGTAATGACCAAAAATAGCATATACGCAGCTTCTCAAACTAAACAGCTTAAATAAATTAATTATATCTGCTCCATTTATTGCTATCATTAATACTAAAAACTAACGTTACTTCTGAATGTTACCTTTATATTCAATGATATTTTATGTTTATAGGTGACAAATGAAACTCAAAAAAAGATTTGTACCCCTTTACTTCCGGTCCCTCATATATTAAATGTTTTTAAGCATAAAAAATTCAATTCTATAGTTCCAGTTATTGCTTACATATTAGTACATAAATAGAAAAGCTCACGTACCTTCTCAATATTACGGCGATATGCTGGCTCTGGCAACCGATGGGGATGTAATTGAACTTGCTGTATTATGTCGTTGATCATTTCAACAAAAACCAGGGATTGATTTGGTGCTAATAGGTCTTGAGCAACCTGTAAAAGCAACCAAAATCAAAAAACAGCAATGGCATTAGTGACTTACATACGTATATGGTGTTAATACTTTTTCGAAAACCTCTCGCTTTCTATAGATAAAATTGCATAGCGCTCTTACCAGTTTGCTAGCAACTTCATTCGGATTTACGTCGCGTACGTCAAACTTAAAGGTTATTGTTTTTGGTTTGTTTTCCATATGACAGTTAATAACAGTGCCATGATCTACACCGGTCACACTTAACTTTGGTACACGTTCAGCGCCGATACGAGTAGATCGTCTACATTTTTGAGCACGCGTTGCCTGCTTTTCCTCATTATGTAATTGAGTATTATTGTTAACATTTGTTGATGTCGTTGTTGTGATGCTGCCACTAACAATTGTTGTTTGTGGAATGCCTTTTTTGGCTGAAGGGTCAGTAGATTTCTGACTAGACGCAACTGTAGTAGAAACAACGTTTTTAACAATTTGCGCTTGTGTGTAAGTCGGTGAAGGATGATTGGTTGTTGGGGACATTGGCTTTTGCTGTGACGTTGGAGATTGTATTTGTTGATATTGAGATGAAGTCTGTGTATGAAATTGTTGTTGCTGTTGTTGAGTTTGTTGGTGCTGTACAAATTGTTGATTCATTGTTCGCAGCGGCTGTAAATTTTGTTGTTGAGTGCCTTGTTGCGGTTTAGTTGTTTGCTGTTGTGGTTGAACCTGTTGTTGAGGTAACTGATGAGTATTATTGATTTGTTGGTGACTGCATACATTTTGCTGTTGACTGCATACATTTTGCTGTTGACTGCATACATTTTGCTGTTGACTAAGATTCTGCTGTGCCATAACTTGCTGCTGCTGCAGTAACTGATTTTGCTGATTATGAGCGACCTGTGCGGGAATCATCTGCTGTGGTTGGGCACTTTGTTGTTGCTGTTGGTGAGTAATCTGCTGTTGTTGCGCAATTTGTTGCTGCTGAGCTAATTGCTGCTGGTGTTGAGTAACCAGCTGTTGAGCTACTTGTAGCTGCTGCATTGTTTGTTGTTGTATCTGATTAGATTGCTGCACCATTGGTTGATATTGTGTAACTATTTGTTGTTGAGCTGCTGCTTGTTGCTGCTGAATGTGCTGTTGTTGCTGTTGTACATGTTGTTGAATTTGGATTGTCTGTTTCTGTTGAATATTAGGCGGTTGGTTTACTTGTTGAGGCATTTGTGTTACTATTTGTAGCTGCGCGGTTTGTTGTTGAATTTGAGCTGTCTGTTGAAATGACGGCTGCTGACTTACTTGTTGAGGCATTTGATGATTATGCACAACCGGTTGAAGTCTTTGCTGTTGTTGGTTTAGTTGCTGTTGCTGTACTAGCTGTTGCTGTATTAACTGTTGTGTCATTTGTTGTTGCTGCTGTACAAATTGCTGCATCGTTTGGGGTTGTGAAGTTGGTGCCCCAACTGAATTCGACGAGGGTACGGAAGCCGTAACTGGTAATGACATAGAAACGGACACTTGTTGGTTTATGAAATTCTGCCCGGAAGGACTAAAAGGCAAATTTGGCTGCGTAGAAGGTGATATTATTTGCAATGCTGATGTATCTTGTATTGGTGTTGTCGAATTTTTAAGTGACGCCATCTGTGGTTGCTGAATGAAATGTAGAGCAGTCTGCATACTTCCAGAGGAAATTATTGATTGAGATGGTACCATTTGCGCATTTTGGTGCTGGTAATAATTTTGCTGCTGTTGTTGGTACGAAACTAAGGAATCAGAATTTTCAGTTGAGTTTTCTAGTTCAGTCTTTCTGGCGCCCTCTGTAGTAACATTTGGTTCACCCTCAGTCAATGAATTATTTTTAGCTTTGAATTGTTTATTCAAATGCTCATCATCTTCTGACTCCACTTCTCCTTCCCCTTCGTCGTCTTCTTCTTCCTCCTCTTCAACATTAGGCGCCAACAATTCCATTTGTTTTTGTAACGCTAATTTTTCCAATCTAGATTTCTCGTTTTGCAACTGTAACTGAGTTTGTCTTTGCATTCTTTCTTTCAGCAATGAAAAAACTTGTACCTTTAGCAATCGTACAACAGCACGCGAGTCTTCGTCTGTTATAATATTTTCTTGTGTCATATCTTGACAAATTTGTTCGCAGTCGTCTTTTTTTATATCATACTCGAACTGGATAGCCTCATTTTCTTTGTGTTTAGAAGATCGTTTTTTTGGATCAAGAAAGCGTAGTCTAAATTCTATTATGTTATTTTCGGGATTACTCAAAAACGCTTCAGTGGCGGTTGGCTCAAGGCGTATGCCAATGTCTTCTTCGAAAAACTCCGAGATAAGAAGATCTTTACAACTCGGTCTATCCTCTTTTTTCAGTTCTATACATTTTTCAATAATCTCACGGACTTTAGGATCTTCTACTTTTGACAGCGCTGCAGGTTTTATTCCCGATATTACTTTTTTGTATATTTGAGCAGGACCTTTACACTCGCTGTACGGATACTCAGATACCGCCATTTCTAACATACACATACCAAAAGCGTAAACATCTACTGACTCGTCATAGTGTTCTTCGTACATTTCAGGCGCCATGAATTCAGGGGTTCCAATCACAGATTTGGCATGTGAACGGTTTTTCAATGTTGCTAGTCCCAAGTCCCCAATTTTCACGCTTCCCGTTGTACCAGTTATAAATATATTATCACATTTTAGATCACGATGAATGATCGGTAACGGGCGGGTATGCAAAAAATGCAGCCCCTTCAGTATTTGTCTACACCAAGATTTCAGTACTTTTGGATTTATCTTCTTAAAGCGTTTAAGGTATCTGTGTGGAAATATTTGTGATAATTTAAATTAGTTTTCATATGTTAATTGCTTACGATTTTAATGTTCCTGAGAGCATTAGTTCAGTGACTAAAACAATGTTCTTTCTTCGAGAAATGGAGTTTTCCCAATATGTGTAGAAGCGTACTATATTGGGATGTTGCAGTTTCTTCAACATGTCCGCCTCTTCACGGAATCGCATTCGTTCGCTTTTTTTTACTTGCTTATCCTAATAAATAAGATATGACTCAAAAAACATGTATTTTTAATGCGTTGGCAAACTACTGTACTACACACCATGGCTGTATATGAGTTGAAATTAAAAAGTATGACATTTAAATAAACTATAATAGATGACATTTTTCCGAAATGTTGCAGAATACAGACCAGACGACCAGAGGTTTTCTAAGCGGGCTCCTTTCTCGGCAAAGACAGACAGAAGTTGCCACACAAACCTAAAAATTATACATAATATCGTCTCATCAAAAGACCATAAAGGTATTATATACACGCAAAGAGCTACTGGGTTATACTTGACGTTTAGATAGACAGATAGCTGGTTATAGCACTGCGACCGGTAGGTCTATTGTGCTCTCTTATAACTGATATGGAGACACACCATACTGAAGTTACTGCTAACGAGAAGGCGGGAATTTTGCAACGAAGGTCTGTTTTTAAAGTGGTAAAAATAAAAGAAGTGTCAATTTTTCTGCAGTTACAAGCAGGACCGGGCTATAAACGGGACCGTAGATAGTGAAGTCGTTGACAAAAACACGTAGTGCAAGGTTCTAGGATTATATGCAGAGCATATGATAGCAAGCGCAATAGTGTTCTTTGATTTCTAAAGAGGGAGGCTACCAGTTGGCGTGAGACACTGTTGGTTGGTTTCACTTGCATTTATGTTGGCTCTTACAGTGCTAAATTTTTCCTGATAGGCGGAACTAGTGAACCGATTTTGCAGCACATGCCCATTCAGTGTTCAGTCCTTAAAAGGATGCAGCTTAGTCTAGTGGTAATAGGTTGTTTACTGAATCTGGAAGCAGCTGCTAAAAGTTGTTCCAGTTTGCAAAGCGCGCCGCGATGTTCTTTAGCATTGCTCCTAATTCCAGGGATTAGATGTGTAATTTGTTCATAGTATTTATGGTAAGTCTAACCTATTATAAAATAGGTGCTATCATCATCAATACAAAATGTCTTTTTTGATACGTTTGGAAATTACGTTAATTAATTCCGAAATACATTCCTACATCAAAATCCAAAGCCACATCTTAAAAAGCACGAAGTTTGTTAGAATGTTCACAGCAGCTCTGTAAGCATTTTCTATGTATGTTTAAATTTTTTAAATGTGGCAAATACTGCCTTTCGTATTGATGGTGAAGTTATGAGTATATATACAAAAAATAATAATTATTACTTTCTTGGTGTGTAGTAATTGTCTGCAATCAACGCGTTATTTGAATTAATATATATACCAATAGTTCACACCATGCAACTGCGACTCCAGTTTCAGTGTCTAAGCCACGGTAAACAGTCTTAAAGGAACCGCGACCCACTTCCTTATCGTATTTGAAAAAGCGACCACAAGGTGACATAGCGACTGGCTCATCGTCATCGTCTTTGTGACTGCTCTTCGTAGTTGTGATTGTCGACTGTGTGGAAGTTGTAGGTTTTGATGTACTTGCAGGTACTACAGTGGACGTTGGGACAGGAGTATGTACTACATCTTCAAAGCTGGCGCGTCCAGCGCTTTTCAAACTAGCTTTTGGAAATATACTACTCTCTGCTAAGTACTCCTCAATCTTTTCTTCCACCTTAAACCCTACACGCTTTCCTGTCGCCGTCGTCACAACATTATTTTCTTTTAAGTTATCCGGTTCAACGGGGAGTCTTTCATCTTTTTTTGAAATCTGTGATGTGTGTGATATTTTAGTATCAGAATTGCTAGTGCGGGTAGGTGTACGAAACTGTTTCTCTAGGTGTTCTGCCTCCCGTGAGAGCATCTCAATATTATCATCGTAGTCACGAGGAAACTCCGTTTCAAACTCAAGATAATTAGTATTGACATTTCTAGCCGATTGTTCAACATTTTTTCTGATAAAACGCATTGGGTTAAACCTTTGGACAGCTGTACAAATTGGTGGCGTGATAAGAGCATTGTCTGAAGCTGAAGACATAAGCATACTAGATCTGTCGAAATTCAGATCCACTTTTTGTGCCATTTTGTTTGATTTTTCCTTACTATCTTCAAATGACACAGTGCCTACACGACGTGTAGCGGAAACTGACGGAGTCTCGTTTGTCTTTTTTGTGTCTTCCATAACGCACTCTGTTTGGTTTTTAATCACTGCAGTGCAGTATTTTCCATTGCCTACGAATTCCTTATCTCTTTGGTTAAAACTAGAAGTTGCTAAGTTAGTGCACGTTGGTTTCGTTTTAATAAGGTTGATTGGCAAACTTTCTGAAGGATCAACCAACTGCTCTTCTTTCCGAGTACGAATTTTATGTGTTGCACTTCCTATGCATACAAATGATGCAGAGGATGATAATGATGGAGACTTACTTCTGCTGCCGGTCGATATTGGCGATCCGATAGTGTCTGACACTAATTTGTTTGATGTAAAAATCTGTTTAACACTACCATTAAATAACTCGTCGATTGAAGATGCTGATTGCACTGTTTTTTGCAGACGGTTTTGGCTTTGAAAAGTTGTAAGCCCAGTATCTTTATCAAACTCTGTTGTCCTGGAACCACTTTCGTTGTCAGTATTATAGCAAGCGGCAACAGGTTTTTTGCATACAGTTAAATTCTTCCTGCGCACAAAACTGCTCGATTTACTTGAAGAAAGGCTTATATTAGCGGTATTTGCACGACTTTGTTCGCAATTTGTAGTCAATGTGCTGCCTGAAAACTTCTTTAGGACCCGGTTAAGAATATTCTGTTTCTTTTCAGAGCGTGTTATAGGTTGACGTATCTTCATCCAGCGTTGCAAAAAGTGTGATGACGATGACGGTTTTACAGAAATCGATTCTGAATGCTGCCTGTGTTGTTGATGACGGTGACAGTGTAGATGACGTGAATATTGTGCTGAATACTGATGTGAATTTGCTACATTACCCGAGTTTTCACTGCAGCGTGAGTAGCTGCATTCTTTTTTCAAAGAAATTTTCACTTGTGGATTCAGTACGTGCTGTGATGTAATTAGTGAAGTCTCTTTAGTTGATTTTCTGATATCGTCTTTCTTACTAATACTAAAACCGCTTTCAGTCGTAAGACTCCTTGAAATACAAACACGAGAAAAGTTTAAATAAACAAATTAAATGTGTGTATATTTTAGTATTAACATAACATAAATGCTTATACTTATAAGTTGTAGGCATGCAAGGATTTTAACTTAAATTATAAATTATTGTCTGGGCTTTTTCCTCTCCAAATCGATTATTTATAAATAACATTATGCAAAATGTGTTATGATTGTACCAAGCATGATGCGTGCAACTTAATAAACTTAAAAACTGGAAGAAGCCATGATCGTGGGATGACTCGAACTACATTCTTTTTAATTACTTATTACTTCCCAGCTTTTATTTTAACGAGGTAAAACGGTTAATGTAATCAGTGGTGTGGCGGAAATATATGGAGGCTCAGACGTTTTCGGCGTGACTAATTACGAGATATCAGAAGTGTGACGGTGAATTTGCAAAAAGTGCTTATTCAAAAAACTATTTATAATTTTAATGTATCCAAAAACTTAATGATACTTTCTCCCCTTACCGCATTAAGGGTAAATTTAAAGTCAATCCCATCTCAAGTCACTAAATTTGAGACTAGCAATTAGTGACTTTTTTTGTGCCAGCCGCAATAGCCGAGTGGGCAAAGCACTAGAGTGCCACTCGAGAGATCCGAGTTCGAATCCTCCTCGGGGCAGTGGATTTTATTTTGTATTTATTTTTTATTTATTTTTTTATTTTTTATATTTTTTTTATTTATTTTTTAATTTTTTTAATTTTTTTACATAATCATTCCATTACAATGTTTTGAAAACAAAAAATAAATTTCCTAATGAAATTGTTGTTGAACAAATATTTCCTTGCTTCGTCTTCGCGTTTTTTAAATAAAATAGAAGGCAATTATATTTTCCTCTATATTTTTCTTTGTGCCCGGCTCAGAGCCAGCTACAAATTAGTGACTTTTTTTTAGACTAGAGATGTGAGATATCCTACAGAATACAAAATAGTCTCAAAATCGATGTTCATCACTATTAGTGTATAGAGACTGCTTACTGAATGCCAGGGTAAATAGTTATTTGAATGGGGTATTGTGGGGCTTTTAGGTAGCAGTTATTGTTAGTTGCTCTACTAGTTACGATTTAATTCCTACTCGTTCGTTAGTTGTTTGTTTGTTTGTTGTTAGCGGTCACTGTGCAACGTGAGCAACGAATGCATAAAATGGGGTAACCAGTCCGTATAGGGCTTGGGTCACTGCAGAAAGAGAGCCAGTTTCAGTGGAACCACTCCGACGTATTAGGTTTAAGAGTCCACTGAAGCTTGCTGCGTTTGTTCACCATAGGTGTGGTTGCAAACGAGGTGTGACTGCAGGCAAGTTTCATTCTTGGGACAAGTGGCTCGCTTTGTAAATATACATTTTCCCGAAATTCTTCATAAATCTGGACGGATGCCTTATTTACGACCCACCGATATCCAAGATATGTGATGCGAGTGGCAAGATAAGGAAAGCAAATGGCCTAGCGACGCCTACTACAGCCACCAAGTAAAGGAGCACAAATCAGTGTTGGAGAATGACTTCTTCACCAGGCACTGTCTTTCGCGCCGGTGGATGAGAGACCCTACACATTCTGCATCTAATCGATATTCTCTAACATCTCTCTGTGTGTTTCATGCATATACGAATTGCGCCAGCTAGGCTGTGCTTTCAACGCAGTCTCACTCATTAAATCATTTGAATGTGTTAGTATGCCGACCACTGAAGTTATTGATATAGGGAGGTGAAGAGGGAATCGAGACGCAAGTACTTTCCGGAATAAAAATAGACACCCAATTACGCGAGTGTCGTCGTGCTCGAGATGCTGCCCTACAGAAAAAGTGCCAAAAATACTATCAGAAAGTTAGCCGACTCATGGAAGATTTCAAGATCAGGGTAAATTACCGTTAAGAGAACCGGGAGGTAGTGTCCCATATTCCGTGTGATAAAATTAAGGAGGGAACACTTCCCTCACCGCTGAATGATAACACTAAAATAAACAGGAGAGATGCTTTTTGGAATCGATGGACTAAACCCCGACTATGATGAGAACGTCTGAAGAACGAAACCGCTGGAAGTTGCGGCCCACCAGCTGAGTTATTGAAGTACAGCGGCGAGAAGTTGGTTAGCTGCATGCATCAACTTTTAGGTAAAAATATGGTCGGATGAACGTATTTCAGACGTCCGCAATTTAAGTGAGGTCTGCCCAATCCACTACGGTGACTCCGCCTTGTACGACAACTAACATCCTTTTCCTTTTGGCTTCTCAGTTTGCCTTTAGCCCTATCAAATACACCATAGACTAGGTTTTCACCATACCTCAAATCTTAGTTTATTAGAAAACCAGTATTAACACCGATAATAATAAGAGTGTTCGCTATGCAAAAAACTTGTACAACTTGGTACCAATTGTTACCAAATCGTGTTCGTTTGGCCAAAAACCCAGTAAAACTTGCAAGGAGAGAGCCCAATTTTGACATTTCATTTGGAGGGGAAGTTGCACATTCTTGTTGGGAAAATTTTTGTTTATGTAAATATTTGTTTATGCAATTAATTTTATTAATTCGAAATATTTGAAAGGTACTCGGGTGAAAAAGCTGTATTCGTAATAGGAACGCAGTCGACACCACTGCCGATATAGGAAATCCGACAGTGACTTCCACAAACAAATTGAGGCGTATGTTGAAGAAAGTCAGAATAAGATGAAATTAACATATAGGTCCCAAGAATGATAGAATACAAGATTGCGCCGATTGCAGCAGAATTCGTGAGAGAGAGAGTTTAGAAAAAACTTTCATTACTAATTTATATGATATCGGCTAAAACACTTGAACTTATCGCAACAGAGAAATATTATTTTATCAGTTTTAACCCCAGTCGATCCAAGGTTCAAGAGAAATACTTTGGCGGATGAAGAAGCCTTTCAGTTAGCGACAAGTTTCGGATCGATATCGCACTTGTTGACGTAAAAATATTTCATATCATACGTCAACAAAACCGATACCGATTCGAAAATTGTCGCTAACTGGTTACAGAATATGTCGCTAACTGGGTACAGAGTCTGCCTACAAAAATGATATCGTCCGATTCAGCTGGAACAAAAATGCTTCAAACAAGTAAGAATTTCTCTGTATTATGGCCCCGAACCCACATATATACATCTTTCATTTGAATCAGTATTGGAAGCTCTATTGGCTCCTACATTCGGGTTTTGATAGGCGAGTCTCCCCTGAACCGTTTTTTCCATATTTTTGGCCTATGTGCGCTTTTATTCGAAACCTAAATGTTTCGGTACCGAGTATCGAGAGTATTGGACACTTAAAAAGTATTGACTCAGCACATCACTACTGCTGTCATCTCGACTGTGACGTCAGCAAAACAGCTGATTCTGTCAAATTCACTGAGAGCCGATTAGCGGTATCGCCATCGGCGCCACCTTCTGTATTCTCTCCACCGTGTATAGGTCCTGTTTTGGTTCCACCTGAAGTAATTAAAAAAAATTTATTATGCTCAAAATGCAACCGTGGACACCAGCTGGCAGCGAAGCTTGCAAATGTTTGATAATTCCTGTTCGCGCAAAACTTAG